TAACATCACTTAACACGTCCCTATTGTCTCATTTAAGAACGGTGATGCTCACTGAGCTAAAAATGACCCTTAAAAAGAACATGCAATGTGATCCAACCAACTGTCCATCGGCACCATGACTTATTACCATTTAATGTTAGGTAGGCATGTCCATGTTTAACAACTAATGCTCATACGAAGTCACTTAGATAATTTAGGGCCAGCAAGATGTCTCCAGAGATAGAGGTGCTGGTCAAACTTGCCAACCTGAGTTTGATCCCTGGAATGCATAAAGGTGAAAGGAGAGAACTGACATCAAAAGGGCACTCTCTGACATCCACATTCATGCCATGACGTGTGCCCACACACACAGTAATAAGTAAGGAATGTCTGCCTAAATAACACTTGAGCAATGACAACACCAGCTGGCATCCCAGTGTGCATGGAGAAATCTCACAAGGTCCCCCCCCAAATGAAGAGGTCCAGGCAGTTCATGGCTTCTGAGAGAGGGAGAATTCGTCTTCTTCAGGGATGAGATCCCTGATAGGTTATCCAGTCCCAAATGGCAGCAACTTAACAGGTTGTATTTATAAATTCACATCTCTCTCTCATATACATGTTAAAGAATAAGAGGCCATGAATTTGAGAGGTATGGGTGTACAGGAGAAACTAAAGGGAGGAGAATGAGGGGAGAAGTTATGTAAATAAAATACTCAAACATAAATAAAGTCACTGACACTGGACAAGAGAAATTGAAATGTCAGCAAATCCACAGTTTATATATGAGAAAAAAAACCAAACTTCAGTAGTCCCCTAAATTTGACAAAAGCCCTAAAATTCCATGTGGCTCTTTAAATAAATGGGTCTTGAAGCCAGAGGCTCTTCATGCGACAGCAATGACAGTTGACTCACTTGAATCTTGGTGATAGTGAGGATGCTGAATTTCCTTTCCAAACTTGCTAAAGATTGTAATATCACAAAGTCCATTATAGCAAAAAAAAAGGGGGGGTAGACAAAGAGAATTATAAAGTGTTAGCTGTTAAGCACTAACAAAATAAGGTTTTTCTTGGGGAAGCAGAGTATAGTACACTTTTGTTTTGATTGGCAGAAATACTTCTCTTTAGATCTTCATCATTATGCATCAGAAACAAAACAAACATAAAAACAACATACTGATATTTTATGTGCAGTTCAAAATACGCTAAAGGGCTGAGGGTGTAGGGCAGGTGAGCATTTATTGGGATGCATAGGGCCCTAGATTTTTATCTCCAGAGCCACAAAAGAACAAGTACCGAAAGTAAAAGTGTACCTAAAGATGTTTGTGGAAGCTGTGTTCACAACCGCAGGAAATGCCCTCCTGTTCCACAGCAGGTGACATGTAAGTGACCGTGTGATACATAACGGTATGCTGTGGCCAACAGAACTAATTTTTCTAAAAAGCTTCTAATGCCATTGAAAACTAGCTATGCCATAGTAGTAGGTTTAAAAACAGCAAGAAAGAAAAGCATGCAGTCTGTATTGAAATCACATAAAAAACATATATATATATAAAAAAAAAACTGCTGAGGGGGGAAAAGAGCAGCAACTTTTCTTTGCATGAGATGCCCTGACAGCCACAGGGCCCACCCCTGCCCACCTAAGGCAGGGCCAGCTCTGGCTCACTCTCTGCCTCTGGTGCAGTGACAGGCACACAGCTGCAGCTGCACTGACTGGCTCTCATCCTTCTTCTGCCGAGGGCGTATTGATCACAAAATCATGAAATTTGGAGAAGAGGCCTCAGGGCTTCAGGGCTGCTCCTTTCATGGGAGGCAGGGATGTTGCTGGTTGACACTGGCTGTGACAAAACCTGAGGTGCGCTCAGTAGATGTCCTGGGGCTCTTGCTGGGGCCAGAGCCTCAGAACCAGCTCCCCTGCGGCTCTCTTCAGGATCAGAGAATTCTTTTCCTACATATACGAGCTCAAATACAACCACAAACACATGTACATATAGACATACACATACACCCTCATTCCCACACACAATGTAGAACTTAGCATGCACAGGTGGTGGTTACATGCATAGGCATATGACTTACAGGCATGTCTTTGCACATACAAACTTATAAATGGACACACTTAACATGCATGTACATGTTTATACTTGTGACATTTTACATGCTAATGTATGTGCAAGTACCATATTTAAAGGAACAACATGAAAATAAAATAGACTTTAGGGATGGACTGGGTGCAGGTGAGACCAGCTGGGGAGGGAGATAGGGCTAAACTAGGGAATTCAGGGAGAGACAGCTGGGATTAAGGGGTATCAGAGGGATGATATGGAAACCTAGTGCTTTGGAAATTTCCTAAAATATTTTAAGATTATCCTAATGAGGTCTCCTAATAATGGGGAAAACAGGTTCCAACTGGCCATTTCTTGTCACTAAACAAGTACCAGAATTTGGTTGCATTCAATTGTGTTGTTGGCCAGGGGGATCCCATGGAAATCCTCCAAACCCAAGCTGTTGCCAAGACAATGGGTTGCTCTCTATAAACTGAGAGTGGGCCCCATAGCTGAGGACAACATTCACACAATTCATCGAACATGGAGAAGTTGAGCTGGTACCTGCATGGGACCTTCATCCCTATGTTGTGTCTTTGGTGAGGGAAGGTGCTCTGAAGGCTACCAAAGGAGAAACAGAAATACCAATTCAGTCACATAACCTTTGACCCACATTTTTTCCTGCTTACAAAATATTCTAGGGCAATGGTGGCACAGAACTTGTGGGAGTAGCCAGTCAATGTCTGATTTGACTTAAGGGTCCACTCCATGAGATGAAAGATAACTGACACTGTTTGGGTAGCCAAGAGCCAGACTAGATAGTCCAGAGATCTAGGGTGAACACAAACACTATTATACTGTGCTATACCTATACTATAAACATAACAACATATATATATATATATATATATATATATATATATATTATGCCTTATTCCTTATATATATGTTATGCCTTATTCAGTCATCACCAGAGAAGCTTCCTCTGGCAGCCATCAGGAAATAATGCAGAGATCCACAGCCAGACATTATGTGGAGAAAAAGTCTAAATGGCATGTATTCACCAAATCCCTCCCCTCTGAGTTCAAGGAACTCCATATGGAAGAGGAGGCAGAAAGAGTGTAAGGGCCAGAGGGGATGGAGAACACCAGGAGAACAAGGCTCTCTGCATCAACCAAGCAAGGAACATATGAGTTCACAGAGACTGAAGCCAACACGGGCCAACACGGGTCTGTACCAGGTAGCTTTTAGCTTAGTATCTTTTGGGACACTAGGGCGTAAGAACTAGTGGGTCTCTGACTCTGTGTCTGCTCTTGGGACTCTTTTCCTTCTGTTGGATTGCCTTGTCCACTTCAGTAGGATGGATTTTGCTTTATCCTATTATATTTTATTTTGTCACGTTTGGTTGTTATCTCTTAGAAGTCTGTTCTCTTATAATGAGAGTGGAATTGGAGGGGAGGGGAGGAGGAATTGGGGGGGACAGAGGGAGGGGAAACTATAATCAGGATATATTAAATAAGAGTCTATTTTCAATAAACGGAAAAAGTAAAAAAAAAAATGAAGAATCAATAGGAGGCATAGCCATGTAAGGTAGGATGACCTGACCTAAGCCAAATCCAAGACTGACTCAAGTGTGCCACTTGACTTCCAGACCCTGAAGAGTGTGTCAGAAATACTTCATCTCTAAGTTGACTTTACTTGTAAATTCTGTGGTTTCGATGGAACAAGATGGTCTCTCCCAAAAAAAAGATAGCTCCAGGGTTCCCACCCTGTACTCCTTCTGAGAAGGCTGTGGTTTGCCACTGAAACCCTAAGTGCCTGGCAGAGTCCCCTCACCCTGGTGTCAACACTTGAGAGTGACTAGCCTTTGGGCAGGGGAGGTCATGGCCCAAGCTGCACTGTAAGTGCTTATATGGCTTCTCTCCTGACCTCTCCACACCCACGCATGGCCTCACTCCCCACTGACTCAGAACTGGGGAACACAGGGACACCAGCAAGCAACCATTGGGGCAAATGGAGGGAAATGGCTAAGTCCTTTACTAGGGGTATTCCAGGAGTTTCCCAGGGACCCCTACTGCCTGTGAAGGTGTGGAGGTCAGTTTTATGCTACCATAACAAATACCTAACTTATACGGAGTAAAGGCTTATTCTGGGGATCCAGAAATTTGGGTTCATGATGGGTTGGCTCTAGTGCTTAGGACTTGTGCTAAGAAAGCAGATGATAACAGGCACATGTTGAGGGTACCTGTCTCTGACCCCCAATGCTGGGGTTAGCTTTTGATGAGGGTGCTAGGGATTCCCACGTGGGTCTTCATTCTTGTAGGGCAAGTTCTCTTACTCACTCAAATATCTCCCTAGCCCCTCCTCTGACTGTTTTGAGGAAGGATCTCATGTAGCTCAAGGGGCCTGGAACTCATGATGTATCCAAGGTGACCTTGAAGTTCTGATCCTCTTACCTGCACCCCTTAATTGGTTGGATTACAGGGGTGTACCCTAAACATGTGGTTAGGCACAGCCTAATGGCTCTGGTTTATCTTCCAATATTGCCACAATGGAGTCCCAAACCTTGAGGGACCTTTGGGGAACATGTCAGATGTCAACTACTGAAAAGGGTGACAATTACTCAATAACATCCTTTTCAGGGCATCTTTCAGGTTCTATCAGATTCACTGAAGACAAGGACCTACTTCTTGACTGGGGACCATGTCATCTAATTTTATAAATAAAGAAGCACCTAGACAAAGGGTAGTGCTTTCCCAGTGCTGGAGATTAGTGTAAAGATGATCTGGATTCTGGATTGGTTGATACTGTGGTGCAGAACACTGGGATTGGAACCTTTCACAAAGACGACAACTTCTGAATCAAGGACTAACCAATCAAAAGCAATACGGAACAGTTTATTTATAAAACGGAAGAAAAAAAAAACAAACTTAATTCTTTTGCAACATCTTATAGATTAAGTAAAAATACCAGTATTAATATATATGTATGTACATAGTGCATATATATATGTACAGATGATAGGGTAACATTACATGCTTCTCGGGACAGAATTAAAACACGTTCCCTCATATCGATTCAAAATGTTATCACAATCTCAATCACCCCAAGAAAACTTGTTTACTCTATTTTCTCTCTTTCAAGTACAGCAAGTGACCAAACCAGGATCTAAACGGAGAATCCATCCGCTATGCGCCGACAAGGGACTGCCACGGATTATGAGTTGGGGGGTCTTCGGGATTCTTAACGTGGGTCTCCATGACCCTACACTGTGTCAACCTTCTACCTGAGGTGGGAGGGAGTGATGAGGCATGACAGTCTGTAGGTTTCATGTACATGTTCACATGGATGTTTTGACAAAAGCAACTAAAGAAAAAATGTCTTCGTACAGCAACACTGGCCCATGAACACTCTGGGGGAGAGGGTTCCTTTTGCCTCTTTCCTTGCCAAATGAAACACAGAGCTCCCTCCCTGGAAGAAAAAAAAGAAAAAGGGGAAAAAAATACCAAAGGCAAACCAACCACTCAGAGTGCAGCACCTCTGGCGATGATCAGCACACAGCAAGGGACAGAGAGGTAGCGTTTCCGTGGTGACAGCTCCGGGCTGACTCAGATGATTTCAACACACCCTCTTCTGCAAAAGGCACTCACATATTGCCTGTTTATAAATCATACAGTGAGGTCCAAGCATGGGAGTCTCGCCTACAAATATAAAAGAGATAAGCTAAGGAGCTGGTATGGCAGAGAAAGGGTAAGAAATACACATTGTGGATAAATGTGTGTTCCTTTCCTTTTTTTTTTTTAAAGGATAATCAATAAGGGACTTTTTTAAAAAAAATGTTTTTTCATTGAAAAGTTTGGAATCCCAATAAAATTACCAGTAAGAAGCAAGGTATTAAGAGGACGAGAGATAGAGTCCAAAACACTGACAGAGGGGCACTAGCTTCCCAAGTGGCCAAAGCAAGGGATATGGTCTGCTCTTGACCATGGGATGGGAGAGAGGGAGCGAAATAAAGGCTGGGAAGCAATGAAGAGGATGCAGGGTGGTGTCTTCAGGAGCAGAAGGAATGAGTGGGGATCTGCACTGAAAAGGATGGGTTGTCCCCTCCCCACTGCCCTTGCATCTCAGTCCATAAAGACCCTGCCCAAGCCAAGGCTGCCCTCACCGGGATACCACTGAGCTAATGGAATTGTAGGATGTGCCACTGTTACAGCTTGAGGCGTAGGCCTCCTGGCCATTGCCATCAAGGTTGATCTTGAACACGGAGGAGGCCTTCAGTAAAAAGTCCGCAGCATCTCGGCGCCCCAGCTCCCGAAGTTTGGATATGAGGATGCCCACGGTACTCTCGGGGTAGGAGGTCCATTCCTGCAACAAGGCATGCACAGGGCTGGGGAGGACATCCCTAGGAGCCCTGGTGTTGGTGTTATGCTTGGCCACCATGTCTGGGAGGCCCAAGTTCATGGCCAGAAGGCACCAGTCCTTCCCCATGGGATCCGGTGGGTCAAGGAGGCGACTCAGTTTCCTCCGTGTCAGTAGACTCAGGTCTGATGCATGGATGTCCATGCCGAGACTGGCCTGTGAGTAGACGTCGTGACACCCAAAGCACGTGATACTGCTGAAGCTCTCCTTGTACCCTCCCATGGTGTTGGTCAGGGAGCTCTCCTTCAGGGCCTGAGCACGGAAGAAGTCCCGGGGCTGGTAGACCATGACCGGTTCATGGTGCTCCCGCAGCTGCTGGGGGCTCAGGTAGTGCTTCACCGTCAACAGCCCAGGCAAGGTGGTAGCCATGACATTCTCGATGGTGCTGCACACCGAGTCCAGCAGCAGGCAGCACTTAATCTTCTCTGTCTCCAGCCCACGCACCTGAACCTCGATGCCCTGGCCATGGTTGACGAGTAGCACCAGCAACTCCGCCCCGCGGTTGGTGATGCGGCAGCCGCTCACCCACAGACGGATGTCTGCGTCACCCTCGGCGCTCTGCTGGTGGATCCACCGGCACAGGTTAACCTGGACTTTGTGAAAGATGCCGCAGGGGAAGGGAGTGAGGTGCTCCACCGGGACGATGCGCACCCCACCGTACACCATCAACTCATCCTCCTCGTCCGCCCAGGAGCGCTGCAGGCTATCCGTTTTGATCAGAGCCGGAACATCCACCATAGTCCCGCTACTCAGGTCCCGGGCGCAGATGTCCATGGCATCCAGTATCTGTAGCAGCTCCTCCACGTCACTGTCGGGGACCAGGCGTTGGATGTCTTCCATGGTGTAGCGGCCCCGGTAATGGTGCAGGGCGCGTGGCGTCTCCACAGACAGCAGCTTCCCCAGGACATTGGTGCAGAGCCATCGAGGGTCCAGCAGCAGTACATCCTGAACCGTCTCACTCTGCATGATGTTGATCTGCCAGAGACCACAACTCAACGTGACCAGAGGGAAAGGACACCCAGGCCAGAGGCGCTTATCACTCAGAGCTGTGTGGGGAATCCCCTCAGAGGCAAAGATCCATCTCCAAAACCAAACCCGAGCCCTGCCCTAAGCTGGCTGGAGAGTATCAGAGGAGAGTCTCTCAGAAGCAATTCCCGCGGAGGTAAAAATCAAAAGTACATAAAGACAGAGACAAAAGCAACAACAACCCACAGCAATACACAAGAAAAGAAGGAAGACAAGAAAGAGAAAAGATGGGCTTCTGTGGAATCTGGGTCTAGAAAGACCCACTAATCAATAAAGGCAGCCATCAAAAGAGATTATCAGGGCAAATGGAAACTCAGCCACTGTCCTGAATCAGGGTTGTGTTTCTGGAATGTGATCTTGTGTTCTACTGAGTTTTGTGTGGGAACAACCTTGTCTTTGGGGACACTGATTTACGGTGAAATATGGTGATGTCTACAAAATAAATCTTAAAAAGGTGAAAGAAAGGAGGCAAAGGAACCATAATGGAAGGAACCTGTCAATGTCAGTTGAGAATATGTGGTTTTGTGGTAATGTCATTGGTTTGTCTGAGACAGGGCATACATATGTTTCTTATGTTTGTTCTTATGACAACCCTTCAACTGAAAGAGGAGTCAAGAATGACACTAGTTATTGACCAGTGTGTCTATTTCTTTAAAAGCCCAAAAGCTGGAGAGAAAAATGTGAGAAGAAAATAAAACCAAGCCAGAAATCACTTTTTTCTTTTGGGCCCTTTAAGGATAAGTCTATGAATAACAGTTATTCCAGGTGGTTTTCATTGGAGAGGCCTCTAGCTCCACCTGCTGGCCATGGGACCCCTCTGCCCTAGTGTAGCTTGGGCTCTCTCTGCCTTCATCGAGTCCATTTCAGCAGGACATTGAGAAGACCCCCAGACGGTTACCATTTCATACTATTATTTCCTTAGGGTTGAGAAAAGCAAAGCTTGACCATGGAGGAGGAAGCTAAGGCGCTAATGGCTCATAACCACTTAAGAAGACTACAGCTGCACAGAACCAGCCCACGTCCCTGAGTTTTCTTTTCCTTCCCCTCTTTCTCCCCGTCTTCATTTCCTAAAGTCTCAAGCTCAAAAGGAGAGGGGATGTGATATGAAAACTAAGGGGATCCTACATCATGACTTAGAAAGTTTCTGGTCAAATAGTAGGAGGTAAGAGAATCCTGTCAAAGGAGAAAGTTCCTTTTTATGGGAAAAAAACGCCTTTTATATCTAAATATCTTTGCCTTTGCCCTGTTCCTGTCTTCTTCCTTGCATTCGGTCACTTTATAGTACGGCTAGTCAGCCAGCCAATCAGCCATCAGTTTACTGGGAGTTCAAAGGCTGACATTACCATTGAGGTCCTTCTGGGCCACTAGGTCTAGATTCAGTATTAGTTTCACAAGTACGCAACTCAGACAAATGCAAGTCTTGATGTGGCACAAAAACCAATAAACCCAGCTCTGTTTTCAATATTCTCAGATGCTTCTAATTGTCAATAATCACCACTGTTGCTCTTGGCCCAGCCTAGCCCATGTGGCCACTCAGTTTCATAGGAGGGAGGAGGTAAAGGCTATGCCATGCTCTGGGGACAGGCATACAGGATGCGGTTAGAACGGTTCCCATACTGGGTTAAGTGACACAATCAAGAGTGATTTCTGTCCTTTCTGGTGGGTGTTGCTTGCTAAGGGGGTCTTTAAGTGTGGTCCTGACTTGGGGACACTGCACACTAGAGTGTCTTCTTGTCCACAGACAGTGTCTGTGAGGACACCCCATGGGTTTTACTCAGTATTTGTCAACCCAGGACTATTTCCAGAGCCAGAGCTTCTCAATTCCTTCAGCGCAGCCAGCCTATGGCTGCCAGGAAGAACAGGGAAATAAGCCATGGGTGCCTCAGGGGGCAATGGAGACCCAGCTACTCGGGGTGAGAGTGACTAACTAATGGGGTCTACAAGACAACAAAAACCAAAGACAACAGACCAGCTGTTGATAGTGAATGGTTGCTTCCACCGGATATGACCTTTGCACACACCTGGCTTCTAATAATATAACCACTGTCCTGAGACTCTTCCCTGAAGTACTAGCTCACATATCACACGCCTAACAACACACCTAGCTGCCTGTTAACATCCTAGGACCCCAATCTCCATGAAGCTATGTGTGCGCGCACACACACACACACACACAACAATGGAATACCTTTCTCCTTTTAGCAACCATCAAACAGATTTTATTCAGTTTTAGTCATGTCAATGAATAATAGCAGGAGAGCTACATCCAGCCTGAACTGGTCTTGGTGCAGGTGCAATAAGGGAAATAAATATGCCCCATAAATAAACTTTCAGGAAAAAAAAAAAAAACCCTTGTTTATCATGTTACGATAATGCATCATGGGAAAGGACATTCATGATGGGGGAAATACTTCTGTGTATGTTTATAAATAAAGTACTTGCTTGGCCAATGAGACAGCAGGTTAGGCTGGACTAGGAGTCAAAGAGGATTCTGGGAAATGTAGTAGAGAAGTGGTGTTGCAGACAGGAAGTGACATAGCAAAGAGACTCATATTTAAGAAGAGGAAAAAGGAAGTGTCGCTCTGTTTCCCCTCGGCTCCTGCTCCAGCGGCACGATGTGATTCACCAGCAAGGAGGGACGCCAATAAGGTGCCCGATAAGATAAGTCCCATAAAATATATAGATGTATGGTAATTGAGACTGAGCTAACAGATGAGAATCCTAGTCATTGGCCAAGCAGCACTTTGCCCCTCATAACCAAACTTACCCTCTTTTAGGCCTCATAAAGAAGTCCCAGGCTCTTGAACAGCCTCACCTATGTGACTTGCTGTCACTCTGGTCGGTGTCTTTCTTTCTGATCTGCACTTTTGCTTTGCTTTGCAAAAAGTATTCTTGCAGTTTGTGCAAACCAGGAGAAGCCTTCAGTTCAACTCATAAGAGGCTCAAAACCCAGAAACAACCAGGCCCAGACTCCAACCCCTGGTAACAGTAAGGTGAAGGAGAAGCAGAGAGCAGAAATTCTGTGTGACTTCGTGGGGCGAAGAGAGCCTCGTGTGATGAGATGTTATAGGTAGCAGGGTCACTTCTCCTCTACCAGCTGGAGCTCACCCACCCTCAGCTCTCACCTCGCCTGTGCTGTGCAGCTGCTGTGCAATGCGTCTGAGGTCATCCTCAGAGGCCAGGGGGTTCAGCTGGTCCTGAACATCATACACAAACTGCTGCAGCGACATCAGCTGGTTTGGCCCGTTGAGCTTCCGCCAGGAGGGCAGTGTCGAGATGATCTTCTCACACAGGTGAGTCATGGGAGGGCAGCCCTAGACAGGCAGGTGGGACAGGTTAGACCCTACAGGACTATGAAGTGCTAGGAGCCAAGAGAGACATCATTTATCCAAGCTGCACATACCCAGAGGAAGAGATCCGCACTTACCCGGCTCAGTAACAGGGTCCATTACTAACCTAGTGCGGCCTTTAGGCTTAATCTAATCAAACATGAGGGGTTTGACAGCAGCTGTATGTGTAAGAGATGGTAAGTCCTTACAATCATATTTTAGGAACTATGGACTCAGCCACTGTTCACCAGCACCTAAGGCTTCACTCAGATCTGCCTCTGCCTCCAGCTTCTAGCTCTACCCCCTTCCTCGCTCGCTAGTTAGGTAGCCGTCTACCTAACGTCAGAAACATAAGGTTATACACAGAGTGCAAACAGAAAAATGAGGATCTTACCAGCTTCAGAGTGGATTCACAGGGTCTGTTGATGGAATATCACTAGACCAATAGTTTTTTTCCTCCTGCCTCCAGCTTCTAGCCCTACCCCCTTCCTCGCTCGCTAGTTAGGTAGCCATCTACCTAACGTCAGAAACATAAGGTTATACACAGAGTGCAAACAGAAAAATGAGGATCTTACCAGCTTCAGAGTGGATTCACAGGGTCTGTTGATGGAATATCACTAGACCAATAGTTTTTTTCCTTCCTCCCTCCCTTTCTTGATAGGTGGGTGTGTATTTGTGTGTACACAATGCATGTGCACAAGTGTGTGCCTACACACAGAAGTCAAATCCATGTGGTCTTCGCTTACCAGAAAGTGGTTTGGGGACCTGTTACTACTCCTCTGGCATCCTACATCTTGACTGACTCTGTCTACATTTCCCAGAATCCTCCTTGTCTCCTAGACCCACCTATTATCCTGTGTCATTGGCCACAGTGCTTTATTCATCAACCAATAAGAGGGAGATATGTACAGAAGACAACCCCATCAGCTCTCCACCTTAGTTTTGACACAGGCTCCCTCACCACACCTGGGGCTCACTGCCTGACCAGCAAGCTTCTTAGAGCCTCCTGTCTCTACCCTGCCCCACC